CACTGACTAATGTCACTTGCCAGGTGCTTCTGAAGGACAAGATGGGGCTCAGTGTTTGGAATACACTTAGAAGGACATCTTCGCCTGAATTCCTCCATGGCTTCAGCACAACAGTAGAAACACCTTAGTAGAAGCACCTCTTCCTATATTGAAGATAAATTTATTAAGAAAAATGTAGACTACAATGAAGGAACACTTAAAAATATTAAAAAGAAAACAAAGATGGATTCAGTGAATATTCTGTGTCAGAGCAGGGCTCTGACACAGAAGTTCCCTTTGTGCACCACCTCAGTCTGGGCGAGGTACAGAGTTTATTCAAATTGAGTTAATCGGGTAACTGATTTGTCAGAGGGGTTGTCCAATAACGGAGTTTGGTGACTGATCGAGGGGTGAGATGAGAAGAGGTGTGGCTGTTCAGGGGCAGAGGGAGAGTGAGTCACTGACACGTGCTCCGTGGTAAAAGGAGAGCAAACGCAAGTGATTATTGGCATTCAAAAACAGTTAATCTGGTCACTTGGAAAGTGCCAGTTTGCATCCTTGCCTTCTGAAGTGGTTGTTCTCCTATGTGTACAATGGTTATGACGGTCCCTGCTCAGCAGCCTTGCTGTGCCATGTGTTAGCAGTCATGGCTAATGTCACTGAAGTGACTCGTCGCTGTGCTTGCCTTGGAATTGCAGTACTTCTGCTCAGCAAAGGTACAGCTAACCTAGAAGAAAAGGAGTGAAAACAGCAAGCGTGAGATTAAGTGGAGCACAGGAAGAGGAGGCAGTCATTCCAATAAAGCATGCAGTGGCATGTTGAGGTGGAGCTGTGAATCCAGGCTGCAGGATGCAATCTAGGATCTGCCCGGGCTTTGAAACTGGATGTGGCAATCGGACGGCAGTCGTGTTCTCTGCTGCTGGGGCTGGCAGTATTTTGAAAAACAGCTTTGACACAGACATGCATAACTGATGACAACGGCCTTGTGAACATAGATACAAAACAACCAAGCCCGAGCCCAGAATGCAGCAGGTGGTGACTGGTTTCTCCTTTATTGCAGTGGAGGCCGAGGCCTTTGTTCCAGGCAGAGCAGTCTTACAGACTCATAGAATTGTTTGGGTTGGAAGAAATCTCCAGAATTAAATAGGCAGTTTCCAGGTGTGATCTGTGGTGCGTTCTGATCCTGGACGTGGGGGTAAGATGTGCAAATTGGAGCCTTTTGTTACAGAGCAGTGAAATCCTGCTGTGGTGCAGCAGCAGAGCTGATGGCTTCCTGAAGTCACCCGGAGCTGGCTCTTGGCTTTGGACAGCAGCCGGAGCACTCCTGTGCAACCGGACAGGAACAGTGAGCGGGGCAGTGGGTGCTGCAGGGTGGGGAGCAGCGGGCTGGCCGGTGCAGCAGCCCTGTGCTCCGTCACGGAGCCAAGGCAGCCCGGCCGCAGCTGGAGCACGGCCCGGGCCCCGCCGGGCCCAGCGCTGCCGGGGGCCGCACGGTGACTGCTGTCTGGCACGGCTGGGGTGCTTTCAGTGAAACTCCCGGTGACTCGGCAGCCCAGCTGGCATCCCGCCGGGCCCTGCGCTCCCGGAGGGCCGGGCGGGGATTGTCGGCAGTGCCGCGCTCCCGGCGGGAGCCTTCGGAGCTGTCGGTGGGATTTCTCTGGCACGGGTGGGCTGCATCCTGTGCTGTTACCAGGCGGAGCTGCGGTAAAACATCGCTGTGCACATCGCACGTACTGCGACAGGGGCTGTCTTTAACTGTGGGAGTGTTCTTCTGTACACCAGCTCCAGACCAAACAGGGCTCAGCCTCCTCCTCCGCTCATGCGGGGATGTTGGGAGGATGAATCTCATCAGGTGTAGCAGCATCCAGACACCTCACAGGCGTTCGATTACAGTAATATCTGCCTCCTTCAATGCCCAAAGGGATAAAATAACCGAGGAGATGCTGCTCTTTTTCTAACACTATTTCTCTTTTATTACGTGGGTTAGAGTCTTTGTTCCAAACACAGTCCAAGCTGCCTTTGAAATCAGCAGTGTAACTACATCCTCATGCACTGCATCATTTCCTTTCTTTTTCGTGCAGGCTCGCTGTGTTTCTCCCTTGCCGAGAGCGAGGCTGCGGGCAGCGCTGCGGTCTGGCGCGGGCAGCGGAGCCGTGCAGTGATTCAGTCTCTCACAAGGTCACGCGGTGAATCGCTGCTGCTGCTGCCAAGAATAGCACCCCGAGTCTCTTGGCTCTCTCAAGCCCACCCTCGACACTCCAGCCTCCTTCCCTCGGTGAGCATGATCTGATTCATAATGCAGCAGCTCTGCTGTGAGGCTGGCTACCTCTGTGATCCTGCTGCGGCTACAGAGGAAAACAGCCAGGCTCAGGCAGCAACAGAGATTGCACATGCCTGTAGCAAAAAGTCTAAACCCCAGAAATGGTATTTAGCAGCTTATCTTATCTACAGATAAGCTCATAAAATGTACTGACTGGTTAAAAATAGGTTTTAAAGTTCTTGGCAAACATCTCGGGCTTATTATTCTTTGTGTTTTTCTGCAGTACAAAAATACCATTTCAATTATTCTTATTAGCTTTTTCTGGTCTTTTTGGAAAAGGACCAAATTATTGATGGGTGTTTTTAGCTTTTAATTGTGCCTCAAGTGCTAAACTTATTCCTGCTATTTGTTTGCAATATGTTTAGGCTATGTTTAGGCAAATGTGAATGTAAGTGGTTATTCAGCGCCTTTGGCACTCTGAACAGAATGTACTGAACTCCTGGGGCTTGGTACAAAGCCTCAGCCTCCAGCCCTTACAAAGCCTGTGCAGGCAGCAGCTAAAATAGGAGAACTACCTAGGCTTGACAGAGGGGGTTCAGATGATCTGGGAAGACCATGAATCATGCGCCTAGCTTTTGTTCTCTGGGCTGGGTAAATGAAATAAGGGCATTTCTGTTAGCTGAGGGCGCTCTGGAGGTCTGGGCATGCTCCGCCTGTACTGCTGGGGCCTGTGGAGCCTTTGCAATGTGTGGTTCAGCAGCAAGGTTCCTCTGGGTGTGCTGGCAGTCAGAGTGCTCCTGAAGCATAATGGAGGCTTTCCTTGGCCAAGAGCCACAGTGCTGGAAGCAAGCAAGCCAGCACGGTGCCGCTGCCTGCTGCGTGGTCACTGGCAGCAGCTTGGGATTGTTACAGTTGTTTGCCTGTTACCCAATCTATTTCAAGCTGTGATGGAATAAGGATGGCATTCGATTGCAGTTCTGCGCACAACTGCTTGGCTTTTATAACCCATGTTTTAAATGGGAGGTTTTTCGATGTGTGCTTTTGTCTCCAAATAACTTCAGACTCATAGGTTTAGGCTTGGTGCTCTCTGCTGGCCTTTGCTGTGGCCTGATGAGACAACTCACAACTCTTGCTCCAGAGGGTGCTGGGTTACTGAGGTGAGAAGCCCTCAAAGGAAGAGGGTAGTGATGACTGTGGGGCACATAGAACAGAGCCTCCATCCTGGTCTAGGTCTCATGATGGAAATAAGGATGTCTTTGTAACTCGATTTTTTTGTTGGATTTTATTTATCATCTCTACAGTGTGTCTGTGTCTCCTGATCTTATGATCCAGAGGTGGCATGCTCTGTAAAGACTTAATTATTTATATTTATCTGTTGCTACAGGATAAATCTCTCCTGACATGGCATTGATCAGCTGCTAATGCTGGGTCTGTTTGTCTGTGTTCATGTGCCTCTAACAGTGGAATGAGTGGTCTCCATCTACCATATAACATACACCTGAATCTGGTGCTCTGTTGTAACCCAAGTCTGAGACTTCTGCAAGCAGCCTGTCATGCAAGCTTGACCCCACAGTTTTCAGTGGATTAGGTAATTTGGTGGTTATAGTGAGGCTTAGTTTGTCTCTTGTTTCAGTGCTGTGGGGAGTGAGGCAGCAGGCTTGCTGCTTCCTGCAAGTGAGTGCAGCCAGGATGTTTGCCATCTGTGAGGAAAACCAGGACTGGCAGAGCAGGTAGTCAGTCAGTTATGAGAAAAGGTAAAAAAAGCACTTAGTGGAGAGAGGGATGAAGTACAGAGAGGCAGAGAGGCAGGGATCAGTAACAGATATCTTTTGTGTCCTTACATCATAACCTGAGAAACTCTGGAAAGCAAATTACCAAAGCTGCTGCTTTAGGCTGTCTTTGGGGGGAAATGAAGACTGTGGGACATCCCTGCTTTATTCTGAGTGTTTTCAAGGCCTATGTTGATCACTGATATCCATAAAACAAACATGCATTGATTGTCATTTGAAATTAGATTTCTGCCCATATATTCTTTTGCTTTCCTGTTTTGATGGCCACATTTTTTACAAAAATCTTTTGATTTTATATTTCCAAGCTTCACGTACAAATATCAGATTTGGGGCTACTGTGTGCCTCATTCATGCAAATGTCTGATATCTGTAGCACCCCAGGACTGGAGCCCTCTCCCAGCCTTGGAAGCCCAGGGGCTGCTGAGCCATTGTGCAGGCTGGTGCTGCATGCATGACAGACAATCACCTTCTGCACGAAGTGACATTTCAGCTGATGAAACCTCCACCTGTGTATAATGTAGGTTAAGGGAAATCTGGAATGGCTGGTGTGTTAGAGTGAACTACAGTTTGTGCTGCTGGGGCCCCAGGGATGCTCGTTACTGCAACTGCTATTTCCCCAGAAAAGCTTCACTTGAAGTAAAGAGGCAAACTATAGCAATTTGGCCCAATGCAAGTACATGACGCCCCAAAATCTAACTGCAGTCACTAAAGAGAAGGCTGCTTGAGTCAGCTTTCAGTGAGAAGTATACAAAGAATTTGATCCTTAAAAAAATCTAACTAATTCATTGTCTACTTTTAGAGTACAGCTCCTCTACAACAGGTACTGTCTGAGGGACAGCTCAGAACCATTGATGCCAAGGCTAGCATCCTATCTTATCCTGGTTTTACTAAATCAGATTTAGGGCCAATAAGACCCAATGGGTCTTATTCTTACATGTACTTTATTAATGTGTCCTTTCTGTTCATTTCAGGGTTATGAAGCTTTCTGCAGCAAGACTTGAAGCAGCCAGACTCCAGCTTACATCAAAGCCCCTGGGATTCACTTGTGATTTCTGGTAAGGCTTCTTTATGGTATTCCTCATTCACATTTTGAAGTCATAAGGTTTTATTGTGTATGAAATGCCATAGGAATCTTCTGCTTTCAAAAACTTGTCACACTTCAGTGTCTTTTGCTTGTGATTTCCAAAACAACCTGTGTTCTGTAAAAGCAGGTCTTCACAAAGCTTTGGATGTGTTTTCCAGCACTTCCTGAGGGTGTCCCTGATCCAAGCTCTGCTTTGGTGTGAATGCATGAGAAGCTGGGAGACTGATTGCTTTCTTTTTCTCACCTTCATTTTTCCTCTTGTGTTAAGGGCCATAAAGCAGAAAAGTAATTGAAAAATGGGAGCTGAAGTGCTGTGTATGTTCTTGTGAGAGCTGGTTGCCCTTCTTATTCCTTGCCTCTTTACTCAGTTGTTATGTATTTGGATTGAAAACGGAGGATTTTTATCTGGCTGAGGCAGGCTGGCAGCCAGCTGGTGGCCACCAGTGGCCCAAGGGCTCCTGACCCTGGACAGGCCACTTGTCCTGCGTACTTGCAGCAGCTGGCTCTGGATGACCAGCTTGCTTTACTTAGAAGGCTGATACATCCACGGGCTGTGACACCCTAAACTGAGCAGCTGATTGCTTTGGAGCCTGCAAAGCACAAGAGAGGGTTGAGTTTTGTTGCATTTTGAGAAAAGTAACACTCTGGACACTCTTTATCTGTGTGGTCCAGGATGGAGTATGGCGAGTTGCAAAGCGTGGTGGGAGCAGACAATGCTTGTGCTGACAGCAGAGGTTGAAGTGTTTCCCGTCATGGAAAAGATGAGCAAGCCAGTTCCACATCAGCTTTCTTTTCTGAGACCTGTGAGTACTGTCAGTGCTGCTGCTATTTCAATAGATGAGCTGCTGCCCTGGGTGGGATTCACACCATTGCTGTGCATGTCCAGTGTCACCTTCCCAGAAATGGATGAAGGGAGAAGAGTGGATGAACCTCCCAGTGCTCCCTCCTCCTGTCTCCTGCCCTTCACAATTTTGCTGTGTTGGGAACTGCTTGAGATACAGTAGGGGCAGGAGAGACCAAGGTGGCAGCAGAAGAGGAGAGCATAAAGGAACCAAAGAGAGAGGAAATGCATGAGCCACAGGTAGAGAAGGCCAGGATGCCATCCTTTATTTTGGCCATGGTCAGCCTGTGCTGAGGAAAGAGCAGGCCTCCAGAGGTGTTCCCTGTTGTGCCTGGCTACAGTAATCGTAGCTTGAGCAAGGAAAAAGCCATTCCTTCCTCCTGACGGGTGGAAGTACCTGTCCAGTCATGAAGATATCCATCCCAGGTGTGTCCCTGTAGTCAGTGCTGCAGGAATCAAACTCCTGCTCTGGCCAGCTCAAAGGAATGTTATCAAAAGGCCAACAAGAAACTCACCTGATGCAGCTCTGGGCCTTTGGAAACTCATGTTTCCAATCAGACATGGTGTAAAAGCCTTATTCTTTGATGGGCAGATGATGCAGTACCAGTAAGTGAAGTTTCTGAAGGGATGAAATTGTCAGCTAAATTCTACTGCTGGAGTGTTGCGGTGTGATGTCATGATTTGCCTCAGTTTCCCCTAGGTTCTTCCTGAAATCTCCTTCCCCAGGTGGGTTGTCAGTCACCCTTCCTTTCCCCACCCTTGACCCACCTGGGCACTGTCTATCAACCCAGAGATTCCAAGGAAAGTGTCCAGCAATTGGCAGGTTCAAAGGATGCTCTCCACCCCCTGGGGGGCCACTGGCCCACCCAGGTGTCCCTCTCACCTGAGACCCCCTCCCCCTGTGCCTGGCTGGTGCTCCCTGGGTCCCCTCCCCTGCCCCTCTGCCCAGGTAAAAGGGCGAGCAGACCATGTGGCTGGGGTTCTGGTGGGGAGTTCTGTTGGAGAGGTCATGGGAGTTATTGCAAGATTCAGAGACTGTGCCATCAAAATAAAAACTCTCCATCGGGACCCACTCCTTTCTTCACCTTGCCTTAAAGGAACCTCCAGCTCAGGAAGGCCTGAGGAGTGACCCCCTCACAGCAAGCTCCAGCCACAAGCACTGGAGCTCGGGGCATGCCTGGACTTGTCCCCACATGCCCAGCTGTGACCACAGGTACTGAACAGCGTCTCTGGGGGAAAACACCACAGGTGCAGCTATTTATTTATTTGGTCAGCAGCTGAGACCAGACAGACCAAGGCAGTCCTGTCTGTAATACTGGTACACTCCAATACTGGGGTCCTTGCACAAATGGAAGACAGCAGCTATATTTGCTGGCAAAACCAATAGATGCAGGACCATCCCTCTGACCAGGAAGCACTGAACATTAAATAGAAGAACATGCAGATTCTTTTTGAGTTTTTATTTTCTTGCTACAATTGCAGGCAAAGAGGACTAGATTTTTCTGGAGAATACACCTACAGTGTGCATATACTACAGTGCATTTGTCATTGCTATGAGCAGTTAGTATCAGGGCTGACTGAACAGCAGCTTGTGTGGATGCACCAGGTGTTTTATGCACAAACTTGGAGAACGAGATATTGATTGATCCTAAGGCCTTTTTTTCACCTGTGTTCTGAAAGGGACAGCTGGGACAGAAATCTAATTTGGTGAATCTGAGACACTTGGGTCTCTTTTATTGCAAAAGAGAGAAGATGGCCTAATTAACCAAGCTGTAGTCATTGTTAACACCCATGGTACATCTTCTGAGCCAACAAATACCCCTTGCAGTGGATGTCAGTGGGTACAGAACTGGACTGCCAAGAAACTTCGTGGAATTTCCTTTCCTTTTGCTTCCTTGGGAGCAGGATCTTGTCACACCTAAGTCACCCTTAGCCAGCATGAACTGCTCTTCTATAGAGTGGTGGATCCTTAACAGGCATGGTTGGTCTGTTTCCACTTGGTTTCACCTGTGCTATTCAGCTTGCTCAGCAGTGATACAGCTTTCTGCAGCTTGGCACTTTGAAAGTCTTTTCAAGTACAAGGCAGGTACTTCAGGAAGAGAAGCAGTGGTTCAGTGTTAAAGCTGCCCATTCTTTATACTCAAGCTTGTTGCTGCGTGTGTTTAGACACTGATTTCTATCTCCTGTCCAGCATTTTGTATCCCTCTTCTCTTTAGTGCTTTATCTCCCTTCTGCTCTTTAGTGCTCGTTGTCAGCTCTGTGCTACTGAGGGGAGTGCTGTGGATCAGCCTCATCTGGCATGTGGTGATGGATGCTTCACAAGAGCCTGCTTCTCTAGTGCTCGTTGTCAGGTCTCTGCTGCAGAGGGGAGGACACTGAGGGGAGTGCTGTGGATCAGCCTCATCTGGCATGTGGTGATGGATGCTTCACAAGAGCCTGCTTCTCCTCCCACAGAGCATACATCCATGTTCTTGCTGCTGCTTCCTGTAGCACATTCCATGCTTTGGTCTTCCCATCCCTGCCTGGGCTCTCTTCTGCAGGCAGCTGCTGGTGAGTAGCCTGTTTGCTGTCTGGCTGCATCCACTGTCCTGATTTAGTTTCTCTGCTCTGCTTGTGAGTGAGATCTGCATGTTTGGTTCATCTTCCACTTCCTGGCTCTGATTCTCCTCCATTCCTGAGCAGTGTGGCTCTGCTGCACATGAAAATTGTGCAGGGGCCAGGCTGGGATGAGCCAGGAACATTCATCCCCCAGCACTTTACATTCCTCACAGGTACCTGAAAGAACCAGTGAAAGTGGCTGGTGTCCTGAATGTGCAAATGCAGGTGTGTGACAGATGAGCCAGTTGCCCATTTTTTGGTGAAATGAGTAAAGCAGGTGTATGCAGACAGGCAGGGTTCTACTCAGGGGCCCTCCTTTGTGCATGTGGCTGCTGCAGTTTGTCCCCAGTGCCACATTTCTGCTTGTGGGCCTCTGCCCTCAGCCTGTGGTGAGAGAAGGTGAGCAGCTGGCAAGCAGGCAGCAAGAATGTGCTACTTAAACATAGGTTGCTGATGGCTGTGTTCCCTGTCTCCAGATGTGTGGCTGCTCTGGGATGCAGGGACCTCCCTCTGTGCTGTGGCAGACAATTCCATTATTAGCTTAGTGGCAGCTTTCCATATGCCAACACTTGTGACTGCAGGACTGTTTAATTTTCACTGCTCCAAAGTATTTAATTTGTCAGTTGTTAGCTTCTGCTTTGTAAAGATCAAATGCCAAAGTCCTTACCTAGATTTTTACTCAGTTAGGGGTAGGACATGGATTCTGTATGAACAGACCATTAGACCTAGTCAGGATCTGGGGCAGGATCAGAGGCAGCATAAGGTCTTGAATTCAGAAAGTCAGTCACTTCTAGGCTAATCAGTAGAAACCCCTTGTCTTCAGGGATGGGTGTCTAATCTCCCTTCTTCTGTTAATTTCTATTTGATGAAATGAAAAATCAGTACTGCTAAAAACACTGCCCACTCACATTTTGAAGATGGACTGTGCAGATGAGGCGTGCAGTTGTGAGTGCCTGACTGAAGGTTCTGGCTCCTCTCTGGTGTGGAGAGCTGCTGCTGTGAGCAGATCACCCTGCAATTCACTGTGGGGGGCCTCTCTTTAATTATTGAGTGCCAGAATAGATGTATATTGAGTTACCTTGCTGGCAAATATCATCTCCAGCATCTTGTGTAACTGCAATATTCTCAGTTTTCCTACCTGCATAACATGGTCTTCTTCAAAGAATCTAAAACAAGACAAAATACAGTTTTATATATTGCTTGTCTAGCAGTACATGTTTCCAGAGAGCAACAGGTTGTACACTGGCTTTGAGGATAGCCTTCCCTGGCAGCATGGATTGCTCTCATATGCAGTCAAGCCTGCACTTGGATGAGCAGCAGAATGAAGCAGGATGTGCATGGTGCACTTTCAAACCAACCAACCAAACCAAAAAACCAACCTCCAAAAATTCAGAAAAAAGGGAGAGCAATCTAAGCCAGCACAGCTTCATGAGAGGAAAGTCCTGCTTATCAAACCTGATTTCTTTTTATGACAAAGTAACCCACCTAGCTGATCAAGGAAAGTCACTTAATGTAATCTTTTGAGATTTCAGTAAAGCTGTCAATACTGTCTCTCATAATATCCTTCTGGAGAAACTGTCCATCTCACAGCTGCATAAACATGTCATGGGATGGGTGAGCAACTGGCAGGACCTGAAGGAATGGCCTGAAGTTGTCAGAGGAGGTTTAGGCTAGATATTAAAAGAAGTGTGTGGTCGGGCATTGGAACAGGGTTCCCAGAGAAGTGGTCACATCATCAGGCCTGACAAAGTTTGAGGAGCATTTGGACAATACCTTCAGGAACACTGTGTGGTGCTGCAAGACCAGGAGTTGGACTCCATGGTCCTTGTGGGTCCCTTCCAACTCAGCATATTCTGTGATGCTGTGGATTTTGCTCTCACTGCTCTGAAATGTTCCATTTGGAGCTGTTGCTGTAGAAGACCTGGCTGACATGTCTTGATGGAACTGCAGTGGAATTCTGGCCAAGTAGTGCATGACTTCAGAGGCTGCCTGCATCCGTGCAGGCTGTACTGGTGTCACTTGCAGGAGCACATGGAGATGGAGGTGGGGAGAGAAAATCGACATACATGTTTATAATTGTTCCCATCTTGCAGAGATGTAAGTGGCAGCCGGTGTTCCCTTGTCCCTTCTCTGTCCTGCTGTCACACACAAGCTGCAGGCATCAGAGCTGCGAGCCCTGGGTGAGAAATTAGCCGTGGGTCCCTTGACCTTTGGTTCCTGTGAAATCCTCTGGATAAGAAGTCTCCAGTGCTCACAGCCATGATACAGATATTACATATGTTCTTTCTAAGTATGGCAAGCAAACCTTGTCGTTCCTTATTTTGCAAAAGAAATAAAACTGGTGAATTCCATGTAATCCTGATG